GTTCACCACAGAGATGGCAGTGGAGGTTGATACCCTGAGTTGCCTTAAACGTCTGCTCCTTGAATGAGGTGGAGTCAGACCTGGGTGGATGATTTACTGCATTAGTTGAGGGTTATATAGCCACTGCTCTTTTGCCTGCCTGATCAACTGCAGATTTTTGTGTCCTGATTTTAAATGGGGATTCTTTTTATGAGACTCTGTTACAAGTGGATGGGCCCTGTGAATGTTTTTGTCAACTACTAGGTTCTGCTAAGGGTGGGGCAATTTGCTTGTTTTTGGGCTGTGTGAGTTCCCTCAGCCCTTTTCCCTCTTCTTTGAGTGTTCTGCCAGACTGACAGGGTGGTGGACTGTAGGAGCCCCTCTTCCCTTCACTGCACGTCATGGTGTGTGTATATGATAGCTGTGTGCGGACACCTGTGGGTGGTGGTGTCAGGGCATCCTGGTGGCAATTCTGGTTTGGTAACAGTTTGCTTTTATCCTTTAGCATCTCATTTATTGTTTGCGCTTATGTAGTTAATAAAACTGCCCAAAACCTGATCTTTAAATTTTGATGATTAGTGAATTACCTTTCCAGTTGAAACGCATGTCTCTCTTGTAAAGAAATGCTCTGTAAAAATAATAAATCCCATGGGATAAATTATATCATGGATCTGTTCCCAAGCTTGCTTATTTGCTTTCAGCTTTATGTTAATCTTTTTCCTAAGGAGGACAGTAGTCCATAAATGTTCATGTAGCACAGAATTAATTTATAAAAATGTATTATATACATATTTATAATATGCCTGAGCTCCTCCTCCTTGTGTGCAATGACCGTTTTATGATGTGAAGACTACTGGATCTGAACGCTTGACATGGGCCTACAACTGTTGTAGACTAACTAAAGAACTAGGACTAAATCTACATCTGTCCACTGCAGGGGCTCTAACCACAGCCTGGAGGAGGAACTAGTATAAATTACTATTGGTATAATATAACCTTAACATTATTTACAGTAGGTTTTAGTCTTCACTAACCCACTGTGCTTGTAAATAATTTCTGGGCATATGTGAGTGAAAGAGTTGCACTGCAGAGCCCTGCTTCACTGTACTATTGTACATAAAAGCCTACTGTATATAAATGTGTATTAAAAGACACAAGTTGACATCATCCAAATCCACAAAAACAGTGCCACAATTACAAGGTGAGGTTACCATGAATCATGATGTAAATATCTGAAAGTGACAACAGGGCCTTTTTCTGGTGCTGGAGGAAGGAGTGGTGTTCTGCTTTGTCCTGACAGTCCAGAATTAATTTGAAGAGAGTGACGGTAGGTGATGGGACCAGCCTTGCTACTATCATCAGTCCTTAAACCCTGCACAGGCTCACATCCTCCAGGTATTGGGGAAAATCTGGGAGGTCCTGAGATGAGTACCAGGGAGAAAAACTAAATGACTCAATGATCAAGTACGAACAGTTCAGAGCACTGCCTTTCCCTGGTGGTTCATCAAACAGAATTAAACCCAAAAAAGCATTAAAAGATCTGAAAGCCCAGAGCTAGAGATCATTTTTGATTCTCATTAATGCTCACCAGGTTTAACACATAAGTATGCCTACATAACTTATGAGAACTACAGGCTGCATTAAAAATATTTACTCTACTTAACTAACACGAGTATTTTCATGTGCGAAAATACCAAAGGAAAATAAAGTTTACAACTCCACAGATTTGTTTTGGAAGAGTTTTGTTTTAACACATAACAGTAGTTTTTAGCAGCTATAGCACTACAGAAAGCTGGAAGGCAGGTGAAGTTATCAGCTTCCTCTGGTAGCAGTGCAGCCTTCTCTTTGATATAAACACAAGTCAAAAGGTCAAATTGGCGCCACAGAAGTGGGTAGAGTGACCTCTGCTGGTTGAGCTACCACACAGCAAGAAGGCCTATAAATATGTTAGGAAACTAAAACATGAATTAAATAATATAAACTTAAATAAATAGGCTAACTGCTGTCCTAAGCTACATATAACATTAGTTCACTTGTCTTAATCTGAAGTTACAAGTCACCAATGGCCTTACAAATGTTTAATTCTCCTTAACAGCCTAACAGGTATTATTTTATTAGTTATTGTTTTTATTTCAGTTAGCTCAAGTGTTTTTTTCACACCCAGTGCTACTTTAGTTTTATTATTTCAGTTTAGTGTTAGTCTAAAATCAACTTTCTAACTACATGGTACATGGGCTACTTTTATTGTGTAGGTTTTACCGGTTACTTTCACTTCCATAAAAGGAATAGACCACCTGACTTCCGTTTCTGGTTTATAACGAACAACGAATTGACTGAAATTCACAGACTCTCTTCATTGTTTGTTCAAAAAGGAATAATGATAAAATGAATAGCCAAAAATGAAACACGGGCCGTTTTTAATTGGTTTTTCGTTTTTTGATTCTGACACCAAAAACGGTTATTTGGTTTTTCGTTTTGAAACAAAAAACAGATAAACGGTGTTTTTGTTTTAGTATTACAAACGAATTACGGATTATCCGGAGATACCCAGAACCACATGGATCCGATTGCCTGCAGCTGGGGAGAAACGCCCAGCCACCAGAGATGCAGCCCACAAATCCGGGAGAGGAAAGAAAAGATGAGCGGGAGAGATTTTTGCTTCAGCGATTATAACTCGCTGAATTTTTTTGCTAGAGTTCTCAAATTTTTATACAAAGTACCCACATTTGTTCACTACAAATGGCACCAATTCAATCCTCTACAAGAATGTCACAGACCTCGTGAGTTGATGTCAAATGCATTGTGTTCCCTTGTTACAACTTACCCCACTACCGGGGTAGGTTTTAACACATGCTGGGGTAAATTGTAACAATAAGACAAACGAAGCAAAAATAGATGCCACACAATATGATATTCTTCAAAAACAGGTAGTGATATAAAAGAACAATGTTTCTGTCTCTATGTAACTATGACTATGACTATGTCTGAAGACTTGCATGCATGTATGTGTATGTAAATTTGTCTAATAAACTTACTTAACAGTATACTTAATAAATACTACTACAATGTACTAAATTAAAGAACATCTTTGTACAACAAAAAGGTCTGTGTTTGTCAATTTGTGTATATCAGAATGAGCTTTATTTGCCAGGTATGTGTACACATACGAGGAATTTGACTCTGGATTGTGCTCACGATGTGCTTACTTATACAATAATACAATACTAAAATCAAACACGGTACAGTATAGAGAACACATATATACACACTATAAAGAAAAACAATATAGACAGATTGAAAATGCACATTGCATATATTCTTAATCAGTCAGAATCAGTGCTTGAAGTGGGCCAGTAGTCACCCGTATGCAGTACCGGCACTTCTACATTTTACTTTTTGCCGTCCTGGGACTTTTCTTGTGTGCCGGCACTTCTCACAATCTGCATGTACGCTTCTCTGCACTTTCCACCAGCGGAGACGGAGTACGGAAAAGATGGATGACACTTTTTAAAGAAGTGTTCCAACCCACCACACCCCTGTCAGCCATTGTTTAGCTAGCTGTATTAGCATAGTGGTTTGAAATTTGAACGGAAAAAATGCATCACATGTTGCCTAAGAAACTACATTTCAATTCAATTCAATTCAATTTTATTTATATAGCGCCAAATCACAGCAACAATTATCTCAGCGCTTTTCATAAAAGAGCAGGTCTAGACCGTACTCTATGATCTATGATGCTTTCAATCTGATATAAGTCATACAATTTTATCTGCAATAGTATAGATACTAAACAAAATATAGTCTTGGTCAATTTACTTTCTTACCTGAAAACCAGTTTTTTCTCTAATCTGAATGTGCCTGTTTCCAGACTTAATAACCACCATGCCTGATCGGGGAGGAAGTAGGTAAATACTGAAATGATCAAATAACTCTTATCTTTAACTATCTTATCTCTAATTGGTGGAATCGGTGTTGTTACAACCATACCCGGTCTCCCCTATAGTTTATGATTTCATTTTTATACGTTTGAGTCTTTTTTCTTCTGTCAAGCTCAATAGATGTATTTTTGTTTTGTGTTTTACATTATTGATCTTTTTTTCATTTCCTGTAAGGTTTAAAGGTTCAAATGTACATGTTACATTTACATTAGTTTTTTAACTGTACAGTGTCCTACTCAGTACATATCTTGGTCACTTCTTCTTCTTTATTAAAACAAATAACAGCTGAAACATCATTTCCAGATATTTAAATATCAATATGGGTATCAGTCTAAAAAATCTAGAATCTGCCAGCGTTTAAGAAGTAGGCTAAAACTTAGTAAACGTGTTTTATTACTTACTTTATGTTGGTGAAATTGATGTCTAAACATTTCTAATAAGTTACGTTTTTTCTCTGATTTATCCAGCCTGCATCTTTTGCACTTTTTTTTAAACAGGGGCGAGTTCAGCGCCGACAAGATGTGGTTGAACGTTTTTTCCAACGGAAACGGTGGTCCTTGAACACCCTGCTGTGTACGCATTTTCCTGCCCTTTTAACACCGTTATGTTTACAAACTTGTCGCAGCTGATTGGGTAACACCTGAGATACGCCCACCAAACGGGAGAAAACTTACCTCGAAGCCCGTTGCAGAACGTTGCGCAAGGTTGCAAGGAAACATCTCGTTCAATCCGAAAACGTTGCAAACCGGTGCAAACCGTTTTGAGATTGAACTCGCCCCTGCTGCCCATGCTGCAGTGTGCTTCCTGTAGCCGACTGGCCCTGATAGGGCTGCTGTCTGTGGAGTGTACCACACTGCTCAGTAAGTGGGGGAGCTGCCGTCTACACTGTCACTACAATCTCAAAGAGCACTGCACGCCAAAGGCCGCTCAGAAAGACAAGTTCCTCCACTCAAAAATACAATTCTACATACAGCCATTTAAATGTATTTGGAATAAAACAGCATATAATATATAATACTGGCCCTTACCAGCCCCCCCCCCCCCCCCCGATCTGTCGAGTGGTAACGGTTCAAGCAGGACAGACTGCTGCCATTTTACAAAACTGCTAAAGTGACATACCACAACAACAACTAATTGGCATGTAGTAGACAGCTTGTTTCCGAAAGTACAGTGTAAATAACGTTATATTGTAAGCAAACATCCACAACGACACTTTGTTTTAAGCACAAGTCAAATTAACAGTGCCGTAAAAACACGGGTAAGTTGGTCGTTTTAAGTTGTCAAACCCTGTTGTAGCTAGCTAACGTTACCATAACATACCCACGGTGCTGGGGTATGTACTTGTTGTCTTGATTATTTAGCTAGCTAGACATTGTCATGACTTGATGTAGAACTGTACTTTTATCGGCTGGATCATAGTTTGAGAATGTGACAGCAGTGTGGTGAAAATTCGTCCTAATAGCGTGGGTTTGATTTAGGATGCTATAGAGCTTTGCTACACGTTTGAATTGTTTTTAGCTGAATGTTGATGTACCCGAACAGAGGGGTCTGCACGTGATGTCATCGAACGCGGAAGTCGCGACCCCCCCCCTCCCCCCTGTCAGGATCATAAGGGGCCTTTCTCATTTCCCAAATTTGTGACTCCTCGCTTCGCGTCTTAGTCCCTTCCACCCGAGATGCGAGCTGGATGAATCAAGGAAGCTTCATCATCTGTCCACTGTTTGAGCTGACAGATCATATGATCTGCGTTGTGAAGATATCTTACAATCTAAAACATGTCTGTCAACATTAAGATATGTAAAAACATCTCCAGGTTGCAATAAACATTATAGCATCTGTTGAAAATCGTGAGATTACAGTAACCTGTCATGACCTACACAGAAATCCAGTAACATAATTTAAAATAATAACTGGCGGTGCAGTACAGAGATTATTTCAGCCCTCAGCCTGATGAGGTGAATGTTTCATCATCAGTCCCTGAACTGTTGGAATGACGTGCAGACTACATGGGCACTATTATTACAACGTGAAACACAGCAGATAAGTGCTTAATGCTCTGGTTGGTATTACAGCCTAATAATTTGATGTCAGCAGCTGTAGGCATGAATCATCCACCTGCCCCCCCACCAACAAATTATTTTATCAGATTTAGAGGCCACACCTATCTGGGCATTTTACCCCACCTCTACCGGTCCCTGCTGCTTTCCAGGTGATATCTTTCTTGTGTTGGATTGATGTATGAGTGTTTTCATTAACGACTGACTGTCAGTCATTAAAGCGTTTCCATCCACGCAATAAAGTCACAGCAAGTATCATGGAACAAAACAAAGAACCTGCAGTTATTAACTAGACAGGATAGACAGAGAAACAGAATTAAACTTTCAGCTTCTATAATCCATGTTTAAACACCCTTAAGGAGCTGAAGATTGATCAGGAGGACGGCTGCTTTACTCCAAACAGGTTCACTGTCTGAACCTGGCCTGTGTGTGAGACTGTGTAGAAGAATGCAGATCTTTTTAATTAACATCAGATCTTGACTGATCCTGTCGGCATGTCAGGAGATTTGTCAGGAGAAATGTGCACAGCGTGCACAAAGCCTCCTTGATCCTCGAGGTGCCTTTTAGGACCTTCAAGATGGCGCGCTGAGATCGATTTCTGAGTCACAGGCTTGAGGATTGAGCAGGCACAAATTTGGGAAATGAGAAGGCCCAAGGCCTTTCATTTCTTAGTTTGTATCTCCTCCATTCCTCTCCTCCTTGGCTCGTGTTCGTCCCTCCCACGCAAGGAGAGAGGAGTCGAGGCAACAGGCATGGAAACGAATGATGATTAGTGGCACAGCTGCATCTTCTGTGCATTGTTTTTAGCAGACCAACACAAAGGCTACAGATCATATCTTCACTATCTGTCAACATTATTTACACTTATTCATTTAGCTGACGCTTTTATCCAAAGCGACTTACAATTGCCATATATGTCAGCACGCACGCCTCTGGAGAGAACCAAGGAACTTGGGGTTAAGTGTCACAATGGTGGATGGTCACAGTGGGGAGTTGAATCTGGGTCGCTCACACCAAAGGCAATTGTCTTATCCACTGTCACCACCCTATTATGACATGTGGTCGCCATAAGCATTATAGCATATACTGATGATAGCATCAGTCATAGGTTACAGCATCATGCACTCACTCATGCAGCCCTATTGACTGAAAAGTTTACTAAAAAAGAAAACACAGGCATTAAAACTGATTTCTTTCATGCCACTGCTCCTTGTACCTCGTGTACACTTATGATGACCATGAAAGTGAAGACCCTGGTTTCTGGACTCTGCATGGGCCTGCAGAGCAGATGTTTTTGAAAACCGTTTTTAAACACTGACTACTCATCAGAAAACTCTACTTTGATTGGTGCATTGTGGCTTGTGACTTGTGGCATGTGGGACTGGATACATGGATACACGATAGACCAGCACCCCCCAAACATGTAAATAAGATTACTGAACCCTAACTTAAAAGAGAACAGGAGGAGCATGTTGCTCTCAAGAGGAGGCGGCTAAAAGGAGCACATATTGGCACACTGGCATCCTGCATCTGGCTAGATCTACGTCAGTCCAATACAGAGGCACTATTCACAACCTGGAGGAGGATTAATATAATATTATTATAACAGTAACAAAAGTATAATGGTAATTTAATAGTGTACTGTTAGTGTAACAGTATAATACGTTCGTATTAATTATATAATGTTACCATACTGATTATAATTTCATAGGTGGGCTATACTATATAGCTTACCACTAATATAATATTAATTCCAGTTACAGCAGTTTAATTTTTGTGGGTTGTTTTCATTCATTAAATCCTCCAAGAAAAATGCTCTACATGGTCCTTGCTCTCTAATTTATTTGATGTTACTATTATTAAGTACTAACATGTCAATAATAACTATTAATGCAGAACAGTGAGTTCAACATTTCCAGAGTTTGCTGTAGCATTTTAGAGTGAAATAATTTTTAATGCCTGACTTTCATTAAACATTTTCTGAGACTTGTTTCAGTGTCACTACAACCTTTTCCAGTACAAATGTGTCAGTGCCAGGTTTTGTTTTCAGTAGGACATTTTAAAGGCACTGTCCTGTCTCCATAGGTTCAGAGTTTGAGATTAGTATTTCACTAAGTGCAGTGTCTGTGTTTCTCATAGTGTTGTCTGTTATTACAGCAGTGTTGTTAGAGGGCCTCTCCAAATCCCATTCCCAGTTACCCAGGAGTTCTGCAACATTATTTCCAGTGTGCGATTCAAACACAGGTTTACTGATTTTGCCACCCATTTTTGTTCACCCATCAGCTGTTAGCAAAATGTAGTTTCTGCTTTAAGGCAGTCCAAAATGTTGTATTATTCCACAGACCTGACATGTGTGATATCAGAAATACGCTTTACGTAAATGATTTGATTGCATGTTTTGCAATAAATAGGTACCTATCTATGGAACAAAACATATTCAAATTGAAAAGCAGCACATTGCAGGAAGGTTACGTTGTTATGTTACATACATCCTTGCAGTGGATCTCTGTTCATAGGTGTGGCTGTGTATGTGCATGGGAGTTTTTTGTGTGCACTGTGGGGTGCCCAGAGACCAAAGCCAGTGTCATTTGGCATAGACTTTTTTTCTGTTTTTACACAAACCAGTGCAGCCTGTAGGACAACAGCCCCCTTCCAGGCCGGAACCTAATTGTTAGCCCCTGGTTTAGCTAGTCCAGGGATTAGCTACTGGCCAGGGAGGGCTATTCACTCCCTCTTCCATTCCCTCTGCCCACTGGGCCTTATCACCATCAATCTGACACCCTGTTTATCTGACGCTGCAGCCAGATCTGCTGGCCTAGGAGAAATGCTCACAAAGGCCATGGATCATCAGCATTTTGATTGTGGGACACCAAATGGCCATTACTCTCTCTGTCCTTAGTGATCCCAGCAGCCTTCTGTCTCCATGATCTCCATGCAGGGGTTGGTCCCAGTCCCAGAACCTGGAACGCTAACCTGAAGGCCTGTCACTTTGTGTCTGTCGTTTGTGCCTTTCTTCCATCTCAAAGAACGGTTGTTCCTCAGCCAGGTTTTGTTTGCTGCTCTTGTGTTCCAGTGGACGGGTTCTCCCTGTGGATTTGTTTTTCTGTGGGCTGCCTTATTATACCCTTTGTCAGAGACTTACCAACAAGTGTACGGTCTGGAGTTTACCACCATCTTCTGATCACTCACTGTCAGTTTAGCTTTATTGTGTTAAAGAAGACGTTAGAAAAAGAAACTGAGTTTTCCATCATGGCTTCTTTTAAGCTGGATTTTCTTCCCGAGATGATGGTGGACCATTGCTCTTTGAATTCTAGTCCTGTGTAAGTAACTCCCTCTGGCCAACTTTGTACGTACTTTATGTTTCCTAGGATTGTCCCGTGTTTCTCTACAAAGGATTGGTCTTTTTTTAAGGTCTTTATGATGATTTTGTATATAATTAGTACTAATCATGAGCGAGGTGATAATAGGCCTAAGAATGAGAACCGCCCCTTTTCTTTGCCATTTGTTTTCTCTTTGCACTTTTTTAAACCTGATGTTTATCTGTGTTCATATGTAAGCTATTACTTCGATACTGCTTCACACTTTGCTTACTATACAAAAGGACCTGGTGGGACAATTCAGCAGCATACCTATGGCTCTACAAAAAGAGTCCGCTCTCACTCTCATATACTTGTCCCCCATGTGCACAAATTCTAGCCAACTGTTTAGGAATGTGATGATAATTTGCTAAGGTATTAGTAATTCCAAAACCATGCTATAATCACTTTAAACATTAGAGAATCTATAGTTTCTCAGGTGAAAATCAGATGTGTTTCCAATCTTTGGACAGTAACTGCACTCACATGTACTGAAATGTACATTAGCAACTCAACTCGGAGCCACTCAATAAGGCTTTATCAACACTGTTGTACTTTCTTTTGTTATCATGGCATTTGATATGTTTACTACTGAAAGCATTTGAAATCAACATGAAATCAATCAACTGCTTTAAAGCCTCCATCTAATGCACTAGTCTTTGTCTTTGTAGTGGGAAGAAGATGAATGGGTCTCTGGACCACCCCGACCAACCAGACGTTGACGCCATTAAGATGTTTGTCGGACAGATTCCACGATCCTGGTCCGAGGAGCAGCTTCGTGAGCTGTTTGAGCCTTATGGACCAGTGTATGAGATTAATGTTCTCCGAGACCGCAGCCAGAATCCACCACAGAGCAAAGGTCAGCCTGTAGCAGTATCACACACACAATCACTCCGTAGAAGTGCACTTCTACGGATTGTCGTTAAATAGAGCATATTCATGCTCTATTTAATATAGAGCATATTCATGCTCTATTTAACGACCCAAACTCTATTTGTTGACTTTTTATCAAAGAACCTTTGTTTTTTTTAATCTCAGATACAAAACTGTTTGGCTTTGAGGACAACACACACACAAGATCAGTAACATTGTTTACTGTCTGCTTACTAATGTGTAACAAATGTAATGTAATGTCTTGAGTATTTGCCCTGTCAAACAGTCCATCAATGTATCCTTTAATGTGTCTGTGTGTTTTCTGATAATAACAGAAGTAATTGTGTTTTTTGTGTTACTTATTCCATTACTACTACTACTACTACTACTACTACTACTAAAAATAATAATTTTTATGAAATTTTATTAAGTGTACATTGCATATTATCAGTAGTCTTTTGGATTAATAAGGATCTCATAATGGTCTAGTGGTATTACTGCCAAACTGCTGTGGGCCCCAGTTTTTTCATACCTTCATATCTTCCTGACATTTCACTGGGGTATACAGCATATGATGGTATTTACGTAAAAAAATAAAAACAAAAGAAAACTAGACATGCAAACGAATCTTAATGGGGTCCAAGTCCCTAGTGCAAGCCACACCTGGCGGCCTGCCAGCACGATGCAAGTCAAGTCAATTTCATGTTTTTGCAATAAAAGCGCCACCTAGTGGCCGATTGGTCCCTTGTTCTTTTTATTTCATTGCACATAATGTGTAAAACATTGTAAACATTTTAGTGGAAGTATTTGAATGAATATATATTTGTAAATGTGTTAATAGTATTAATTTAAATGTTTTTATCTACCTCATACGTATTTGTGTAAATTGTGTATATTTTATGCTACTGCAAACTGCACTTTCAGGGATGAATAACGTATCTACAACCCACCGATCTGTCGATCTATCTGCCTAGATCTGTCTACACTTGAAATTATAGAAATGGGTATGAAGTACATGAAGTGACACACAGGATGAGTGAATAATTACCTCTTATCACTCATGATGTGATTGGTTGCACTGATGGAACATCATTGCTATAATATTGGAGAATATAAAGTATGTTAATATTTCTGAGTGAGCAGGCTGGTGGTGTAGCTGCTGAAACTGAGTTGGACTGTTTAACTAGCATTTTGCTGACTACATTTCTTGAAGTATCTGAAATAAAGCCACTGAATGCTGTATAGCCAAGATCCAAATAGATTTAAAATACTACTTTATTTGAACGTCAACAACTTTTGGGTCTGGATCAGATCTTTGGTCTTTGGTCTTCTATATATTTTTAAAAATCTTCATCCAGATTTTTCATCTTCATTTGCTGTCCCATGTTTCATCCCCGTCAGATTATAGCTGAACAAATACAGTTTAATTTACAGACACTAAATAAAACTTTATTGTGTTAACTTAATGACACTTTTCTTTGTTCTGACTCCGGCTCTCTTTTAGAAGAGAAATGGGCACAATCCAGGTTTACATGCAGTAATATCTCTGTCCACTGCATCAAATTTTACCTTTTACCTATTTACCTGTTTACCTGTTAATTGAACTGGTGATTTCTCCATCTCAGGGTTAGTTCACTCAGAGATCAGGGTTAGGCTCAGAGTTTGTTAAACCTGCTTTCTGAAACAAAGACTGGAAAACATTCATTTCAAAACAGTAGTTTGGAAAATAATTGTATAAATAATTGATTTTGCAACAAAAGCGCAACCTTGTGACTAATTGGCACCAAATTTTGAGTTTGAGACCCTCAGTGTGGCATGGGAAACTACTGGCCCACGTTTCGTGTTAATCAAGACAGATCAAAGCAGAGATATGACATCTCTAACTGTTTGCAACCTACAGGTTCCTTTTTAACTTTTGGATTATCAAAACGCATTTTTTATTAAACTTTTGATCCTGAGGGTCCACAGATTCTACATGTAAAATTATGTACAGTTTAGACACACCACCTAGGAGTAGTGTGTAAAAGTAGGTTTTGCATGTTTTGCGGGGGAAAAATCTAGGCAGAAATGGGAGTGGCCCATAGCATGAGATGCAGCTCAATTCAGGGAACATGTGCATATTAAACTTTTGAATGTGCAATGTACTGTTTGGGAGTTACTGGCCAAGAAGTATTTATCTTGTGATTATATTATTATTATTTCACTTTTATAACTTACAATGTAGGCTGCAGTGTCACTTTTAGCCCAACTACTGCCACTTGCTTCCCCTGTTATGTTAGCTGTCTCTGGCCGATAAACGTTATAAGTATTACTCACTCGTCCTCTTTTTTCACCTTTTTTATCAACCAGTCATAATTATTAGGCTTTCTAAAGAAAATTCAGACAATCAGCTGCCATGACATTTTGCAATAACTAGATTATGTAGCAAAATAGCCTACCAATGCGATGGCTAAAGCCAGCTAGACTTCCCTCAGGCTTGGACCCCTAAAAATCTGAGCAATTTGACTAAGGTTCTAGGGCTGAACAGTTATTTGAAATCGCAATATGATGTACTGCAGTTTTTCAAATTGCAGGAGGTGCAAGGCAACATGTGTGTCAAAGTAAATATTGTCCTGCTGCAGAGATGTCCTGTCTCTTTGTTTTGCACAGATGCCTGCAAAAATCACACCATAATTATTAAAATATGTTTTTCAATGAAAATAAGAATAATTATATAAAAATGATCATTCCCTATAGTATTGCAAATCATTTCGCAGTTGCAATGTCAGTCAAAATAATCACAAAAACCTAAAATCATAAAAGCTGAGCTGCTGGTGATGGAAGTCATCGTAGCATGTGAGTGTTTATGGCTTTTTTAGCTTTTTTGGCACTGGTTTAGTGGCCCAGAATCATCTCACATGGCACTACTCAGTCAGTCAAATCTGTGCGTTGCAACTGGACACAGTGATTGAGTCACGCACAGCCTGTGTGGGAGACGAGATGAGATGAAGTCGGAGAAATAAGCGATTTAGATTTATTAAGTAATGTCACATGGCATCCTCTAAAAGACAAAAGTAGGCAGTTAAGATTTTAATTAAGAATGGACATTATATACTCTTAATAAAGTATATCTTCTTATGGTGCATTCAGAGCAACCGCAAATTTTGAAAGTGTGACACTTTCCTCAAGTGAGTACATTCGCTGCAAGTATTCACACACAATGCGAGAAGGTGATTTTAATGCGATAACGTGAATAAACACAACTCGCCATTACTACAACTGTATGAACCCAAAGTAAACATTTTGCTGTGATTAAATAGCAATAAACGGATTAAACTGATGCTGAAATAACTACAACATGATGCAGATTTGTTAAACATGCTTTGTGTGCTTTGCTTCGTCAGGTCTGTCAGCAAGACAGCAGGACAACAACTTCTAAAATGTTTGTTTTCTGAATGGAGTTTGGATCGATCAGGGTTATGGGTCACAGTAAAGTACAATGATAGCTCGAATAAATTTACAGACACATGTTTTCTGAACTCACCAGGTAGTTCATCCTCCTTGCTTTCTTTTCTCCAAATAATGTCCAGTTTTGTCCGTTTTTTATATAAATATGAAGTCGTCGTCTGACAGAGCTAACAACGCTAACAACAATACTGGAACCCGATGTGACAGAAGCTACCTGCTGAGAAGCTCCAGTGCAGATAAATCAACATTGAAATTCTAAAAACTAAAGTAAAAAGCTATTTTCATAAAAGCAGTTAACTCTGAGCTCCTCCCGCGAGTAAACGGCATAGAATCTGACCGACTACGGGTGTTTATTTGTCCAATAGTTGCAGCGCTGCTCCCTGCTCCTTTCCCCCAAGTTTAGCAGCTCTCAGCCGGCCTGCAGATTTTAAATCTCCCGCTCTGCCCGGCCCTCTACACACAAAGCTCTGAAGCCTTGGTGACGTACGGACAATCTCAACACTGAAAGGCTATTGCGACTCAGCGTCATGCAAATTCCTTTGCGTTGCCGGCCCCGCTCTACCCGTCTTTGCATTGACTTTATATGTAAACTCACCGCCCCGAACGCTCGCTTCACTTTTGGTCTGAAAGCCATTTTGGCCATTTTTAAATGCAGCGTTGTGAAGTGGCACTAACATTACCTGACAGAGCACAAGTCTAAACAATCTAAGAGCCAGTATAATCAAGCCACCAGAAAGAGGAGCATCTGTGTTTTTTGTTTTTTGAATTTAAAATAGTCTTGTTATACCGTAATAACATGATACCTCCCTAGCATTCCCTCCGTATAACAGATGTATAAGCATAAACACAAACTGTAATAACTGAGTCAGGTGTCTGACATGTGTCTCTTTCATTCCCCGGCAGGCTGCTGTTTTATAACATACTATACTCGCAAATCAGCCTTGGAAGCACAGAATGCTCTGCACAACATGAAGATTCTGCCAGGGGTAGGTGACAGCCTCTTTAAACTGCCCTTTCAATGCAAGCTAGTTCAAGTGGAAGCCTTGGACCTCTCTATGGTTGCCCATTAACAGCTATACCAAAGGTGGGGTGCAGCTTTAGTGTTGGACCCTATTGCTATGTGATTAATAATTGTTGTTGTTGTTATTATTATTATTTTGTTTGTAGAAGTGGTTGTGCAGACTAAACTGTCAACAGTGCAAAGGATTTTTTTTTATGTATGAGAGCCTGCAAATATTTAACAGGAAAAGAAAGTCCCATGTCAAGCACAAGGGTTTGCTATGATTTCTCTTCTTCACTGTATAAATTTAATTTAGTTGTTTGACAATGAGCAGTTGAGCTGTATACATTTATTACAATTATTTATTTGTCAGACAGGTAGAGAAAAAATATCCATTTAGGGGGAAAAGGAAACCAATGCCTCTGCCAGCTGGTCTGGGTTGTGGGTGAATGAGTTGGCTGAGGACAGGTCTGCAGGAGTCTAGCAGGAAGCTGCCTGGCAGTTTCATAGGCCCCCTGTGACGAGGTGTTGGGTGTGTGTTCGAATAGTCATAAATAATCGAATAGTTCATGGTACTATCATCTTGTCTTAAAAAACTATATTTATGGGTCCAAGCTTGAGGGGACAGGCGGTTCCAAGTACCAGAGGTGCTGGGAACCCTATTGAAACCATTTCAATTTTTATTATTAGGGGTCTAAGATCGTCTCTAAAATTGTCCCTAGGTGTGAGTGTGAGTGGTTGTTTGTCTATGTGTGGCCCTGTGATGGACTGGCGACCTTTCGCCCACTGTCAGCTGGGATTGGCTACCAGCCCCCCGCGACCCTATAAGAAGTTTTCTGATGGTAAGGCTGTGTTCAGACTGCAGGCCAAAGTGACCCAAATCCGATTATTTTGCTCATACGTGACTCAGATCTTTTTATGACTGTGTGAATAGGCCAAGTCACATGGAATCTTATCTTTTACAGATCAGATCTTTTTAAATGCGACCTGAGTCTGGAAGAGTCGACTCAGGTCGGAACTGATGCGACTTTGACATCACTCTAGAGCAGCTGTTGTCACAGTCCTGCTGTAGACGGAGCCACGGTGAACGAAAAAGGTCCACAAAAGCCATTATTAAACATGTGACTCCCCTTCTTGTCTACCTCGCTGTCATCTGCTCACAAATTCCCTTTCTTCCACCTGAAATCCACCGGACCGCGAGCTCTCTTCTGAGTTAACTATGTGCATGCTACTTGTCCTAGCGGACACAGTGGGGAGAGAGAGAGAGAGGGAGTGAGTTGTGGTGCAGATGCATTGTACAGCGCCAGAAACCATAAAGAAAAGAACAGAAAGTTGCAAACACTTGTCATAATTTGGGAGAAATGTGACCCGTGAGAGGACAGTGGAAAAATGGGAGTCTCCCACGATCTAACCCGGAGCTAACCTCTGCGGCTCTGTTTACTTCTGTAGGCTTACAACAGTGTGCTGCTGCCTGTGACGTCATGTTGTCCTTCTGCGCATGTGGGTCACGTTCAGGCTGTGGACAGTTCACACTGGAGTTTGATATGGGCCACAATTAACAATTCAACACACTCTGTCTAATGCCCCTTTTCCACCGCACGGTAGCAGCTTGACTTGCCTCGACTCTTCTCTACTTTTTTGGTTTTCCATTGGGGAGAAGTTGTAACTGTACCTGTTACTTGCTACCTTTTTTCGTATCACCTCCGTCGATGTTCCAAGCTAGCTGAGCTGAGCTGAGCTGAATAGAATACAAAGGAAAATGGAGGACGGCAGGCCAAAGGCAAGTAGTGTCGAGTCGAGTTGAGCTGAGCTGGTAACAGTGGTGGAAAATGAAGGGAGGTTTATTGTCACAATATATCAAACTATAGAATGCTACATAGCAGACAATATACATTAATACAGAATCAATTATAAAAATGGTAAACAGAAAGAAACTATCATCACTGGAGCAAAGGGGCTTAACCCTGCCTGAACTCTAAGTTGACTAACCCTGAGATGGAAAAATCATCAGTTCAATTAACTATGAGTATGTTCACTCTAAGTTAAGATTGGTCATAGGTGTCATTTACACTGGGGACTCTGGGCTCATGTGGCCGCTTTTTTGCTGATTTGTTCCCCATCACTTTTTAAAAGCATTTGTTAAATATGTTCGGAAAATTAGCTTGCATTAAAAAATGTTAAATAACAAGTGAAAATTCTTTTCTCAGATCCTCTGAGAGTTCTTTGCCATGAGGTGCCATGTTGAACTTTGAGTGACCAGTATGAGGGAGTGTGAGAGTGATAACACCAAATTTAACACACGTGCTCCCCATTCACACCTGAGACCTTGTAACACTAACGAGTCACATGACACCGGGGAGGGTAAATGGTTAATTGGGCCCAATTTGGACATTTTCACTTGGGGGGTGTACTCACTTTTGTTGCCAGCAGTTTAGACATTAATGGCTGTGTGATGTGTTAAGGGACAGCAAATTTACACTGTTATACAAACTGTACACTCACTACTTTAAATTGTAGCAAAGTGTCATTTCTTCAGTGTTGTCAGATGAAAAGATGTAATCAAATATTTACTAAAATGTGAGGGGTGGACTCACTTTTGTGAGATGTATAAATCACACTGTATATACTGGACATGGGTAAATGAAAGAAAAACCTGAATAAAAGATTGGAGAAACAAATAGCATGCAAATACTTGGTGCTCCAGGGCTTCCTGAGCAGTTTGGTGATGTTGAAAGTAATGTAAAGAAAATGCTGCGGCCTTAACAGTCACCAGATCTCAACCCAGTTTCACACCTGGAAGATTTTGACCAACGTGGAAGACATTGCTCTCTACCACCATCTCCATAAGACCAAATAATAATCTAAACCCTCATCTTCAGATCTACGTAGTGATGTCTGTGACTGTCTGATGCTATATGCTAGCATGTATTCGTACCGGACTGTTTTGGTACAGGACTTTCGTAACGGTGAAAATGTGCACCAGTTGCAGTCTTTTTGTGCGTGGAACATACGTTAAGTTTTAAGCACATTATGAAGGTGACTGAGCCCCGGTATGAAATTCCTTCTCGTCCACATTTCAGCCAAAAAGTTGAAGTGAACAGGCTAAAACTGCTGTTGTCTACAACCTGTCCAAGGCATCTGCTATAGCACTCAGAAATGATGGATGGACATCTAGAGCTACCGAGAGCTGCTTAACAGTCACTGCCCATCACATCGCTCCAGAATGGAACATGGTAAGCCATGTTCTGCAAACAAAGACAGTGTTGGAGTGGAAGTTGAAGAGGCCAGGAACTACAATTCCTGTCACAACAGACAATGCTAGGAATATTGTCAATGCAGTCAGTGAAGCTGGACTGGGCCCTCAAATTGGATGTTTTGCACACACAATTAATTTAGCGTCACAGAAAGCAACAGGTCTCAACCAGGCCCATCAGCTGCCAACACATTCTCATCTCAATGCATCATAACTGACGCTTTCAGACAGCGTGACAAAGCAGAAGGATTTTACGCTAAAGGTACCCTTCAGCGTCTGTATGAAACACCCCCATTTGCTACGTTGCAGCAACACAAGGGAGGCTAACCCTACCTGTTAGCACATCGGCCGCGAGGGTTAGCCTGTCAACATGCATAAAGTCAGTGACTTAGGTTTAGGTACTAACATTTCTGATGGTTGTGGTAAGGGTAGGGGGTTCGGGGGGCTGTCAACACCTTTATAACACCTTCTCATAGAGACGCTTCTAGAAATAACTACGCTTTGTCACTCTTTCTCAAATCGTCGGTATATGCCGCCCTGAGATGAGAACGGGCTCCAGCTGCACACATATTGGAGAGCAAACAGGAAATGCTTAATATACCAAAACACACCCTTAAGGCCTTTTCACATGGGAATTGAAACTCTGCTTGCGTAGTTGCGCTTCTCATGTGAACAGAAACCGAGACAAGCACGCCTTGAGTAAACGGGGCAGGCATCGCTTGTCGCTACGCCTGTTGCGATGCCTGCGTCTCCCTTCCTACACTCATTGAAAATGAATTACGAGGCACGTAAATTATTTCCCGTGTGAAAAGGCCATTATTCGTGATGTCACCACCCGCTGGAACTCCAGTTATGATATGCTTGAGAGGTACCTTGAACAGCAAGCAGCTGTATACTCTGCACTGACAGAAAAGGCCCTCAAGAAGAATAAAGAAATAAGAACGGTGTCTGACCAGGATGTGAAAATGGCAGAGGAGGTACTTGAGGTCCTTAAACCACTAAAAATCCTCATAACACTGATAAGCACTGAAGCTGCATCTTCAGTATCAATGATCCTCCCCCTCAAAACTACAATCCTCAAGTCTATGGAACCCAATGAACCAACTTTTGAGAGAAGTCAAGGCTGCCATCACAGAACACCTGAGGAACAGATACTGTACTTGTCATGACTTCCTCCAAAACATGCACAGAACTTGATCAAGGTTTCAAGGCCCTTCCTCATGTGGATGATGCCTGTTGTGACAGAATCTACAACAGCCTCATCACAGAGATTGTAACCATAGAAGAACAGGTATTGTTTTAATTTGCTTGTGCATAAACTGAATTCATTGTATAATTTGAAATACCTTCTGCTACAGTGCCAGTAGTACTAGTTTATTAAAGTTGTGACACTTTATTTTGCAGAGTGAGGAGACCACAGCAGTTAGTTTATCCCTAGTAACAGGACACCCAGAGGCATTACCTCCTCCTGTCAAGAAGTCAGCCATGGCTGAACTGTTTGGTGAACTCTTCAGGTGGGAAACAAGCCTACTTTGAAGCTGGTGAAGGAAGAGGTTACTTTATACAAGGCTGTGGACTGCCTTTCACTGGATTCCAACCCTCTTGTATGGTGGAGGACCAATGAGCCCACATATGCTCATATTGCCAAGTTAGCAAAGCGCTACAATGCTGCACCTGCTACCTCAGTCCCTAGCGAGAGGGTATTTTCTGCAGCTGGAGACATTGTAACTGCCAGCAGATCTGCCCTTTCTGTGGACAATGTGGATAAGTACATTTTTCTGACAAAAAACATGAAAGTTGAATGAATCTGAGCAGGCCTACAAGATGGAGCTGTTGATGCTGCACTTTAAAAGTTACACACACATTTCTTAAAAAAACTTCATAATAAACAACCAGCAATTTAATGTTTGCATTTTTTTCTCCTTACTGTACCAAAAATCAACCGAACTGTGACTGTAAAACCGAGGTACATACTGAACCGTGATTTTTGTATACTGTTACACCCCTACTATATGTCCTTAGTTCTGTCTGGCTGTGTTTGATAGATAGAAATTCTCCTTCGAAAAGGCTAATTAAAAAAAACCAACAATTTAAACATTTGCTTACAGTATTGTGCTTTTTACAATTAGATGTCAGCTTTTAGACATGTTTAGGTTTGAAATGGCATTACAGTGTTTCCCCCAGGATTTCTTTCAGGGGAGTAGACCCCACCAAAACTACTAGTGTCGCGGAGCAGGTATGTTATGGATATGTGGTGTTGTCAGTTGCCTGTTTAGGCTCATCAGCTTCTCCATTACCCTTGCTCTAAAGTTACTACGTCCTGATGGAGCTTGCTACAGCATTGCTACATTGACATATTGGGCAACAAGACCGCGGATATGGCGCTATAATCAGTTTTTTCACCCCAAATTCTGTTTTCTGTTTAGATTTTTCTGAGTACACATTTTGTCATCAGAAAGAGTGTGTAAAAATGTGGTGGATGAATTAAATTTCAACAATTCAGTAAGAAAATATTACAAATTGAATCAATATCTATGGAGACGATTCCTAATAAATGTAAGCCTATAGCAACAGTAGGGTATTAAAATACTATAAAACTATGTAATAGGGGGCAATTCAGAATTAATGCATTGTTGAAATATATGTAAGTTATTCCCCTATTGGGAATTGGTTATTACTTGAGAGCCTCCATATGCTGCTGAACAATGGAGTTAATTTGGTTTCAACATTATTTGTGTGAACACATATATCGATCCATGTGTAAATGTGTAATCTGTAAAAAGAAAATACTCTGTTAATCTGTTAATATATCAAAGCCTATAGCATTTCAAACTGCTTAAATTAGCCTAGCGTCTAGCGGACTTTTCCTCTACTCACAGCTTAACAAATTACATGTATAATACAGTGTATACTATTTCTTACTCACCGCTGGTTTAAATCGCTGCCTCTCCCGACACAACACCATGGTTGAATTTCATTCACCTTTTGTTGAAACATAACAGCTGATATTTCCTTAGCGACAGCAACAAGCTAGTGCTTTCAGGCAGATCTGCTGTACTCTGAAATACGGAAATGACGACGTCAGCAGGCAACATCACGTGGTCTACGAAAACAGCCGAGTGACACAAGTCGATATTTTTTTCCACCGGCGGAAAGAACCTGCTTGTTTCAGAACTCCGTTTTTGTAGAAAGGAGATCGACAAATACAAGTCGCACTCAAATGCCTGTTCGAAAGTGTCAAATTTTTACATTATATTACAAATATTCACGTATGCTTTTCAACAATTTATAAACTCAAACTGAACTCACAAATGCCTATTTGAAAGCTGTAAATGTTAGGAATATATTCACAAATGTGGGTAATCTATTTGTAATTATTTAACATATTCACAGATATTTTTTTAATTTGTGGAATGTTTTTGTGTATTTGCACATCTGTTTTATATCCAATCCAATCCACTTTATTTCTATAGCACATTTAAAAAACAGCAAGGTTACCAAAGTGCTTTACAACAGTATAATACAAAACACACATAAAAGTATACATGACATCAACAAAACTATCAACAACTAGGACCACAACCAATCTTTATGGTACACTAAAAGCCAAGGAGTACAAATGTGTTTTTAGGCAAGTTTTAAGAGTAAGAAGGGTGGGTGCCAGTTTAATATGGGGAGGTAAATCATTACACAATTTGGTGGCAATAGCTGAAAAGGAACGATCACCTCTAGTTTTCATCCTAGTTATTGGCACGTTTAACTGCATATGATCCGCAGACCTCAGTGACCTTGACAGGGTGTAAATGTGCAGAAGCTCAGTGATATATGAGATATACTGAGGTGCTAGTCCATTTAATGATTTAAAAATAAGCATCAACATTTTAAAATGTATTCAAAAATGTATAGGAAGCCAGTGAAGCGATGCCAAAATTGGAGAAATGTATTCATGTTTCCGAGTTCCTGTTAAGAAACGAGCCACAGCATCTTGGACTAGCTGTAGGCGTGAAAGAGAAGTTTGGTTCACGCCTATATAAAGTTCATTACAATAGTCCAATCTTGTTGAAATTAAGAGAAATGAATCACATTCTCAAGAAGATAAAAAGTTAAAACATGTTTAATTTTTGCTAATTGTGGATTTTACCACACTATTTATTTGCTCATCAATTGAGTCTACAGACAAATCACAAATAAGCCAGCAAGGTCTAGGAGTTATCAAAAAGAAAATATAATCTAAACAAAGACAAAAGAAAAAATTAAGTAAATATCTTGTAAAGCTTACAGAGGTCATATGATTTAACAGTTTTTTTGTTTGTACACTCAGGTATTGAAATAACATATTGCTGTAATGTTGCTTCAGAAAGCTTGGCTTCTTTTTTAAGAATTTTGACTTGTGTAAATAAAATTTGGTTAAAATAATTATAATAATAAAATTTATGCTCTGAAAATAAATTTTTGTCATTTGTAGTGGATCCAAACAATACATTTTCCCACCGCAATGCAAATTGAGGGTAAATATGGACAACAATAAATTGTGACACTTTACTCCAAAGTTTCTTGGTATTTGGGCAAGACCTTTTTCAGTTTTTGCAAGTAATAGTTAGTGGGGTAAAACCTGTGAAGCATTTTAAAAGAGATCTCTTTAACTTTGTTGGTTAAACTTATGTGGCAAAAGCCAAACTTTTTCTCAATAAATCTCTCCAACAAATGAGAACCAGTATGATAAAGCAGCGGGTATACTCCTAATGTCCTGTAGGAAAAGTTGACAAATTCCCTTATTCTGACTTTTAGGTTGCAGCGAAAAACAAATGTTCCCAACAGTTGTTTCCTTCACATCCACCAGTGTAGGGGATCATCAAATCCATTAAAACCTTTAAAAAGTGACATGACAGCTGAAGGAATCGCATCGAAGACGATAGAGAAGTGGTGAAATATGGATACTATAGTGATGAATAAATTCAATGTAGTTATAAAGTTGACCATGTTGGTTTAATAATTGATTTACAAGGAAAATGTTATTGTCATACCACTGTTGAAAGAAAATTTATTTATTTTTATACAAAATATGTTGTTCCAAATATAAAACCTATGAGGAGTGCAGAAATGCTTGACCAAGCCAGTAGCATTTGTTTATGAAATGAAGAAAGTTTAAGAGGAATTTATTCGATATTATAAGTGCATACCAACAAAAACTGGAGACCACCAACTGAAGAGAAGACATACTGGGGTACACACAAAATCATAACGGACTTTATCTATGGTTTTACACATTTGTTGATCTATATATAAAGATAGTGCAGCGTGTGTTACTCTTGATATTCCATCGGCCTTTGAGTAAAATCCTGCCTTTCAATAATAAATGGCGTAATAGCCATGGATTAAATTTCTTTTTCTTCATTTTTTCAACAAAGGGAATGAGACTATTCCTGCATCTTTGGGTTTCATTTTTATCAATAACAATACCTAAATAATTAATACAGTTTTTCACAGGAATATTAGCAATTAAATCAACACCACAAGTGCTAGGAATTCACATTTTTTAAGATTTAAGACCAGAGGCTTTACTGAAGACTTCTATTATGTCAATCTCAATAGGAACCTTGGAGCTGTCTTTTAAAAACAGTTGACTAATAATAATTGTTATATGCGCTGGTGTCTTGCTAGTGAGCCAGCTCCTCGAAATGACGGTGTGTCTGTGCGTTTCTTCTTTGTGTGTGGAGTTACCACGAAGCTCCACTCTCGCTGAAACACCAACCGAGACAGAGAGCAGTCTCAGTAACGTTGAACACCACAACAATGTTGCGTGATTAAAGTTCAAATAATTGAGCTTTTGAGGCAAGGTGGGGGGGGGGTAACAAGGGTACAGGGAAACACTGCATTATAAAACAGTAGCTTTTATAGTTAATTATTGACGTTGCATCTTTTTTTCTTTCTTTTTTTCTTTCTTTTTTTTTTAAACCAAAATAGCTATTACGTATTGGAAACACTAATAAATTTAAAAAAAATTAATAAATGAAATTCTTAAGGTAGTAATGATTAGATAACCAAATAAATCAGGGGGCGGCTGTGGCTCAGGAGGTAGAGCGGGTTAGCCGTTAATCGGAAGATCGGCGGTTCAATCCTGGCTCCCCCGCAAGTCGGCTATTCCGCCAGTGTATGAGTGAGTGTGAATGTTAGTTTCCGTTTGAGCACTTAGGCTCAGTGTATGAATGTGTGTGACTGGTGAATGCAGATGTAGTGTAAAAGCGCTTTGAGTGGTCGAAAAGACTAGAAAGGCGCTATACAAGTACGGAGCATTTACATTTACATTTACATAAATATGCTACCAGCATGAACACCATCTTTTTAAACTGTGTCAAAACTGGCCATCTTCATCCTATGACGATAACCAAACCCTGACTTCTGAAATGACTAACATGGACATGATGTCTCTGCCAACATTACTGAAATGCATTGCAGAACACACGTGCATATTCCAGTGTTATGACTAGACTGTTTTTGTTGCCTTCTTCAGATGCACCATCCAATCCAGATGAAGCCAGCTGATAGTGAGAAAAACAATGGTAAGGATTTCCTTTGATACTACAAGACAACTCTGTACACAAAAGGCCTATTTCTCTCAGATATTGTTCACAAATCTGTCAAAGTCTGTGTTAGTGAGCACTTCTCCTTTGCCGAGATAATCCATTCACCTCACAGGTGTGGCATAATAAGATGCTGATCAGACAGCATGGGTATTGCACAGGTGTGCCTTAGGCTGGTCACAATAAAAGGCCATTTGAAAATGTGAAGTTTCACTGTATTGGGGGGTCTAGGGGGGGTCTGGAAACCAGTCAGTATCTGGTGTGACCACCATTTGCCTCACACAGTGCAACACATCTCCTTCACATAGAGTTGATCAGATTGTTGATTGTGGAATGTTGGTCTACTCCTCTTCAATGGCTGTGCAATGTTGAAGTCAGGGCGAGACCCCGATGAGGATGGCGAGCATGCAGATGAGCTTCCCTGAGACGGTTCCTGACAGTTTGTGTAGAAATCCTTTGGTTATTCAAACCAATTGTTGCAGCAGCCAGAGATGAAGATGCTGGAAGTGGAGGTCCTGGGCTGGTGTGGTTACACGTGGTCTGCGGTTGTGAGGCTGGTTGGATGTACTGCCAAATTCTATGAAATGCCTTTGGAGACAGCTCATTTCACGGGCAACAGCTCTGGTGGACATTACTGCAGTCAGCATGCCGATTGCACACCCACTTAAAACTTGTGACATCTGTGGTATTGTGCTGTGTGATGGAACTGCACATTTTCAAGTGGCCTTTTATTGTGGCCAGCCATGTGCAACACCCATGCTGTCTGATCAGCATCTTGATATGCCACACCTGTGAGGTGGATGGATTGTCTCCACAAAGGAGAAGTGCTCACTAACACAGATTTGTGAACAATATGTGAGAGAAATAGGCCTTTTGTGTACTTTCTTAATGTACAGGAATTTATTTTTGTAATGTACACAAAATTAAAAATTTTTAGTTGTCTGTATGTGTGTGTTGTAAAATAAATTTTTTTAACTGATTTTTATTAAAAAGGGCATTTTGCAAGGTATTTTTAATGCATTAATAATGCATTATTCTCATACTGAATGGTTTCATAAAGCAGCTTCCCAAGATATTAATAGTGGCTATATACTAGTAAAAAATTACTAATAATACACTAATACACAGAAAGTCTTAGATCTTTTCCCTTTTTCCCATTATCAGTAACAGGTCAGCTCGACTGGACTTAGCTCGACTCTACTCGACTTGGTTTGGCCGTGCTCTGTTTTCCATTGCAGATAGTATCCAGAAATAGTACCCCTCAATGTAGCTTGTCGTCATAGCGACGCCAACTGCTGCGACATAATGTTCAATGCGACACACACACCAGCGATCCACAAACAGCTGTCTCTTGATTTAAGTTAAAAAGTTTCAACATTCCTCAGAATGTAAAGACAGATAAGCGGTATGAAAACCTTCCAGCTGTGTTTTCCTCTGCCGTTGTTGCTGCAGCGGTCTCTGTGACTGTGGGACCAGAGGGCTCTGTGAGCGGGTGGCTGGCTGGCCTCGCGTAGCTCCTCCCGTGGGTTGGTGCAGGCTTCACCCGCCTCCACTTGTGGAGTACCTCAACTCCGAAAACTCTCAAGCACATTTTTGTTCCACCATCACTTTTCATAAAACTGTCAATATTCGAAATCTACACAGTTGATTTCTCACCTCAAAACTTCTCAGAAGTGAAATAACATATGAAAATTGTAAAATAGAAAACCTTCTGTTGCTGGCCTCTGTCAGGTGTGCGCAATAATGATGCAGTGAATAGTGACGATTCTCTCTGACCAGTCAGTAGTCTGCCATGTTTTCACATCACATTTAATATCGCCTCAGCTCGCTTGGAACCTCAACACGAGGTGATACGAAAAAAAGTACCTGTTAGCAGTTACAGGTACAACTTTTCCACAATGGAAAACCAAAAAAAGGTGAGTAGAGTTGAGGCGAGCTGGTACCGTGCAGTGGAAAAGAGGCTTTTGAGTTCAGCTTGTGATGAATAGGGACAAAACCAAACGTGTTGCATTTATAATTTTGGTCAGTGTAGATCTGAGCGTCCACGCTAATGTGGATACATCAGAAAACATAGTTTATCTGTTAAGCGGGGTTCCGTCTACATACTGAAAGACCAACACAACAAAGAAATAGTTACATTGCCTCTTTTTTACCCTCTTAAATTTCCATTTTTCTCATTCACTCTGCAAAGAAAGACCAGCCTTTTCAAATGTATTCCCAATAGAGTGGACATGACTTGAAACATTTTTATCCTGCTGAGAAAACAAACCGTACCTTGATGTAGTATAGGTTCGCAATTTTTCAAGTCCTAGAGCTCAGTTTTTAGATCTTTAGGGGTATAAGTTGCACAAGAGTCCCAATTAAACACATGTGTTGAATGTTGTTGTGCACCACTTATCTTGACTCAGTGCAGGTGTGTTTAATGTTGTGTTGAATACAGCAGTGGAGGACAGGAAGCTGTTTATTGGAATGATCTCCAAGAAGTGTAACGAGAACGACATCCGACTGATGTTCTCTCCGTATGGACAGATAGAGGAGTGTCGGATACTTCGGGGCCCTGATGGACTCAGCCGTGGTAAGGCAGAATCTATTTAATTAGTGGCTTAATTATTTTCTGATTGTCTTTGTATTATTTGAGATGAATGTTCATTATTTAAAGCAGATAAAATGGATATATTTGTAATAATACATCAAGCGAGAATGTAAAAACAATGTCATGGCTCATCTTTAGTTGTCTATCCTTCAACTCAACTGTTTTAATCTTTTAAATTCATTCTTTTCTCATCAATCTATACTCAATAACCCATAATGACAAAGCATATACAGGATCTTAGAATTTTACACAAATTTATTAAAAAGAAGAAATTGAATTAAAGCTGCAAGCAGCGGTGGGCGTGCCCTTGCATGTGTAGCACGTCAAGGTATAAGGCAGCCGCGTTGCAGATTCTGGAGCTCTGCCAGTGTGGCTGTGAATTTCCAACGCACTTCGGAGGCAGAACAAACGTGTTTATCATCACTTCCTGTGTCCCCTAAGTGGCACTACATAGCACTTACTACAACTATAACTGAACATGTAGATGTGTTCGGGGCGGGACTGTTACAAGCATGTAAAGTTTGGTGCAGATGTGAGCATGTACACTGAAGTTAAAACAACTTCCTCTTTCATGGTGAATCCTCGATTTTGGACGCAACGCCACGGGCACGCTGTTTCACGAAAACTTACCGTTTGTGCAACTTTTAATCATCAGTGGCTCAGGGGAAATCTGAAGTTGGTTGGGCTAATTCTGTAGGAGGAGTTTGTTAAAGTATGGAGTGTGTAAAAAATCCAAAAATAACCATAAAATTCAAAATGGCCAACTTCCTGTTGTGTCAACGCTTTTTTGAACATCTGGACATGATACATGTGCCACAGAAATTTCGTACATGTAGGTAAAAGGTGCCACGGGGGCTGCTTTGTTGAAGGTCACGTCCTGTTGCAAGTAGGTGGCACTATGACCATGGGTGAATCTTGTCTAGTACATGTGTTCAGGGCAGGGCTCTTTTCAAATGTGTAAAATCTGGTATGGATGCGAGCATGTACAGTCAAGTTAAAACAACTTCTTTAACTTTAAAGACTAAAGACTTTAATTTTGCTTCCACACCACTGCTACGCCGTTAACTGCAAACTCACACACTTTACAACATAGCTTCATCAATGCGTTAAGGGTTTTTTGGGACAGTTTTGAAGTTGATATGTCCAACCTGCTCGGAGTAATACATTACAGCGTAAAACGTGTCACTTCCTGTTGCCAGCAGGTGGTGCTATGACTTTGAGTGAATATTGGTATATAGATGTGTTCAGGGCGTGGCTCTTATTATACATGTAAAATTTGGTGCAGATGTGAGTGAAGTTATAACAACTTCCTGTTTCATGGCGAATCATCGATTTTTGACAGCATGCCATGGGCAAACTGGTCGACTGGTAATAACCGTTTGTACAAGTTTTGTGCGAAGTTTGGTGAGTTTTCGAATATGTTTAGGACCCCAAAATTGCGGTTGCTTTGCAGAAAAAAGAAAGAAAGGAAAAAAAAAAATCCCTTCAGTTTCAATAGGGACCTTGCACAATTTGTGCTCGGGCCCTAAAAATAATCCCTTCAGTTTCAATAGGGACCCAGGTGAAAAAGAAATATACTTAAGTAGCACTTTTTATGGATGCACTTATCATATTTTTTTTTGTACTATGCTAAATGTATATTAAATGTGTTATTTTGGAACAACTTAAAGTATGTTAAGTGTCATTTTACTTAAAACTTTAAGATAATTGCAATATATTTTAATATACTTAGTTGTGTTAAAATCGACCTACTTTAAGTACCTTTACTGTAATTTAAATATACTTCTTTAAATTGAACTTAAAATACCCTTTTGTGCTATACTTGAAGAACAGTTTAAATATATTTTAAATGTGTTCCCTGAACATTTTTATTAACATTTCAGTGTATTAGTAATTTTTTGCTAGTATATAGCCACTATTAATATCTTGGGAAGCTGCTTTATGAAACCATCCAGTATGAGAATAATGCATTATTAATGCATTAAAAATACCTTGCAAAATGCCCTTTTTAATAAAAATCAGTTAAAAAAATTTATTTTACAACACACACACATACAGACAACTAAAAAACTTTAATTTAGTGTACATTACAAAAATAAATTCCTGTACATTAAAAGGTACAGCAGCATGTATCACATCTTGAGCAAAATAAATAATCAAATAAAATCAGTAAAATGATGACATATGACCAGTATTACTGAAAAGTATTTTGTCTATATCAAAGCAATATTACCTCTAATTAACTAACTACCATTGTAGGTACAACAAATAACACAAACATTCAGACTTGCTTAACAACTGTGCTGTCTACATGTCATTTCACATTAACACAGCAGTCAATTTGTGAAGTACAAAAGTAGCCAATTACTTAATGTATAACAATATTTTAATATAATTATTTTTTCACAAGAATATTTGTTTATTTAGTCTGACCCCATTGATATGTAGTGAGAGCAAAAACAGTGATGGTGTGCAGGAGCCAGACATACCTATGAGCACATTGAGCTTGTGAGGGTCCAGCTGGTCCTTTGAGGTTTTCTAAGCCATCTGAGTGAGGAAGAGATCCCAGGAAGCTCTAAAAGAAAAGAAATGCAGTTGCAAATGAGTTTAAATATTCAGTTAGGCCAGTACTTCCACCTTGTTTAGTTCTTCATTTCCATATAATTATAAACACTGTAACTCTATTCTTATAGCAAATCTTTATTATTATTCTTCATTTAATTTTCTTGAGCTAAGGCAGGAAATTCCAACTCTGGGTTTAGCATTAAGTTGGTTAAAGTTGGCAAAGGGAAGGTTCAACTTTTAAAAGTTGAATACAGGATATATGACCATACAAATGTACATAAAGTTGACCATTAATTTATATAACAACACATGCTGTTATACTGTGTTGTCAGCCATTGCAGGACACAAAAACATTATAATTATATTATAAAACAATTCTCACATACCCGTGTACACTTTAACATTGCTGTTATAACTGAGTTATTGGTCACTGTAATGGTTAACGTTACCCACTCCATGGTTGCAGTGAAGAGAAATCTCTAAAAAACAGTGTACCTTTAGAATTAATTTATACAAAACTGTGACTTGACAACTGTGGTGATGTCGTTACAGACTACATGGGCAGGAGTGATGATTACAGTGAGCAATAACTTACTGTAAACATGGACATGTGAGTATTAAGGTAGACTATAAAAATGTGAACCTATTCTTTAGCACACAGACAGCAACATATTAGTTGCATTTATTACTCTGATAAAGACCTCACTGGTCATTTTAACAGTACAAAAGCAGAATTGAGGGCTCATACACACACATGCACAGGCCTGCCTTGTTAAAATCTCATGCATCAAATTCCAGCAACAGGGTCAGATTTTACATTACCGAAATTTTTGAAACATTAAAAACTGCCTTACAGCAAAAAGCAGTACATTACTGTAACGTTAATTGCGTTACTTTTGCTGGCAGTCTCTGCGTCTGTCCTCTCCTGCTTGTACTTGCCAGGCACGCCTCTTTAGCTCTTTTCACATTTAACTTCTGCAGGGAGCTGACCGGATATTCTTCTCTTCTGTGTTCTTTTCTTATTATGTCTGTGGTGTCCACTTTCGCCAAGTCCGAGTCGGTAAAGTAAAACAAAGGAAACCTGAGAAACAAAATGATTTCTGGCAAAAAAGAGCTTCCATCTCACAGACAGTTAACATGTTAACTTTTGTGAAGAGGACTTTCGATTTGAAAACCTTAATTCTGATTGGTCCAATTGAATGCACTGTGCTAGTGGGCTGGGCGGGAAGGCACACTTCATTCCTGTGTACACATGTGTTGTTTACAAACAGAAACAAGTATAACTACATTATGATTTAAAGTATGCTTATTACTATAAGTTGTTGTTTGTTTAAGTTAACAACATGTGCCTCTTCCTTCTAGGCCAGGTTACCCTTATGAACGAGAACTCTGATCTCAACTAGCTATTTACCTGATAAAAAAAAAAAAAAGAAATAATATGCTTTTGAAAACTATATTTTAATGTTAAAAAAATATGTTTTAAAAATCATACTTCTGGAAAGTATGAGTCTTTATTAAAAGTTTAAGTATATATTTATTACCAATTTATTCAAAGTATACTTTTGAGAAGTATGTTAAAGCTCAGGAGAATATATCTTTAATATACTTTTAGTAAGCATTTTAGGAGTATGAATGTACTATAAGCATACTATGTGAATTTCTAGTACATTTTCAATGCCTTTAAGCCCACTTCTTTTTGACCTGGGGACCTCGCACGGTTCATGCTTGGGCCCTAAATATCACATTAACATAAGTATGTAGTAGGGCTGTACGTCAGTTTACATACCGCAGCAACGCACACACACTGTATGTGGCTCACAGTATGCATGACACACATACACACACAAAATGGGCTTCCATTCAACTTTAACAACTTACACCTGCGCTGTAGTCAAGTTATAACTAAATTTCCACAGAAAGCAAAACAGCTGCAGGCATCCGACACACTACTCTCGTTAGTTAGTGAGCTTCAAATGAGGCTTGCCGTTAACAGTTTCTCTCGACTGTCCCTCAGTATCACAACATTAATCCAACAATCCAGCCGAGCCTGCTAGCCACATTATCTGCGCAATATGCTAATGCCAAGTAAGCTAACTGTAAAAGTAAAGTAACAGTAAAACAATACAAAACATGGCAAAACTCACAGCTTCCAAGTTTGATGTCGGGTCACACACAACCCATTGTGATCCGTCGTTACGCTTGTGGAATCTTTGAAGCACTAATTTATTAATTTAGCCCTACGATGTAGCCTATGAAAACAAAACCAATGTGGTAGCTAACGAATGACATCTGCACTGGTGTGTTGACTGTTTCTTTTAGATGGTCTGTACTTGTAAAATGTCCATCGTGTCCAAGTCTTGTAACGTAATAGATGTTTCTGTGTTTCTCTGCAAAATGCTAACATGGGTCGCCAAATATACCTGGGTGGCTGTTAATTTAGCTGGGTGACCCGCCCAATTACAGTTTGTGTCTAGGAAACATTGATACTTGTGTTCAGTGTATCACAATGAGTCCCTGACCATGTCTGGAGGTGGTTTGGCCAATTGGATTACAATCTGTCCTCGGTGCATCTTGGACGCATTTACACTTATACTTTCATGTGGTCAACTGCTACCCTATTGCAGTCTGATCACCCAAAACACATTTTAATGCCCCACTGAGATGTTGACAGAATATAATTCTCTGTATGAATTATGATACATTGTTTTTCTCTCTTTCAGGTTGTGCCTTTGTGACATTCACATCAAGACAAATGGCCCAGTCAGCCATCAAGTCAATGCACCAATCCCAGACCATGGAGGTGAACTTCAACTTTACACTAAAAACACCATGCAATGTTTTAAACTTTTGACCTTGACTTAAAAATGGGTGTGTTCACTGTGTGTCTTCACTGTTGAAATAGCAGAGCATTTTAAAATATCACAGTTATTTGACTTGCTCTTAAGTTACAAGTTAATATATTTTAGTCAGTATGTCAAGCTGCCGGAGTACAAACGATTTCCTGTGCCTGTGTTTAGGGCTGTTCATCACCCATCGTGGTGAAGTTTGCAGACACTCAGAAGGACAAGGAGCAGAAGCGCATTGCCCAACAGCTACAGCAGCAGATGCAGCAACTTAGTGCTGCTTCCATGTGGGGAAATCTCACTGGGCTCAACAGCCTGGGGCCACAGTACTTAGCAGTGAGTTTATAGGGCCTATGTGTGCGTTAATGCAAAACCAAATGATTGACAAAGCAATTTCACCAGTTGAAGTGTTGCTGTGTCTTCCACTTTAGCATTGTTGTTTCCATATCTCCTTCTGGTTTTAGCTCTACTTACAGTTGCTCCAGCAGTCAGCCTCCACGGGGAATGCACTCAACAACCTGCACCCTGTTTCAGGTACACACACATGTACGCTTTAACAGACATTACCAAGGAATTATCAGTCAGTAATGGAAGATTAAGATTTGAATATATTAATAATGTACAGTATGTTATGTTACATGTACTGTATATTGTCTGCTACGTAGTAGAAGGGAGTTAGAAACTCAATTTCACTCTACAACCTGTTGTATTGTGACAAATAAATCTACCTTGTAATATGTATTGTTAGCTGAATAAGTCATGGCCTCTGGGATTGTAAAAGGTTCATGTCAAAATGGCTTAATTGTCCCTTGGATGCTGAGGAAATTTTCAATGTCCAGCCTCACACCTGTATAGCCAGCAAACTGCAGGGGAGAACACACCCTTGTTTTTCTACACATATACTAGCTGTCAGGAGAAGGTATGGGTGGAGTCTTGAACTTTACTGTTTGTGTATCTGTCAGGTCTTAACGCCATGCAGAACCTGGCTGCTTTAGCAGCAGCAGCAACTGCCACACAGGCCACGCCCACAGGCTCCAGCGCCATGACAACATCTAGTAGCCCACTAAGCGCACTAACAAGCTCAGGTAAAAAAAATTACAACAACAGTACTAGTCAAGGTATTCGCAGTAGGGCTTAGTGGTATGGTGGCATCCATGAGTCCACATAAACCTTAGAAATTGTACTCTCACTGTTAAACGTATGTACAGCTAAACTGTATATACATATATATTAACTATATTTTGTATTAATAAGCTTTATTTACTATATTAGCCTTCAGGAATCTACAACATTTGCTTATCTAACATGAAATCTCTTCTTTTTTTCTCAGATTGCCTATTTGCTATTTCTTGTCAGAGACACATTATATCATAAACTGCAGTTTTTGTGGAGTCAAATGACGGTGTGAAAATGTTGACATTGCTGAGCTCAGACTGTATAACGATAACACAGCTTGATGTAATATTTTTCAGTAGTGTTTATTATACATTAACAGTAAACATTCCCCGAGCAGGCTCCTCCCCCAACTCCAGCAGCAACTCATCAGTGAACCCCATGGCTTCTTTAGGGGCCCTGCAGTCTCTGGCTGCTGGTGCTGGAGCTGGCCTCAACATGGGCTCCCTGGCAGGTATTAACCCTAAACTATACTTGACTGAAAATCTCCACTGATTAGATTACTGTGAGGCAGTACGCTTGATGTCTCTGTCTTAAACATTTACAGAGCAGACGCAATTGAAAAAACAGTGACACTGATATATGTTTATTGAGTAATAAGAGCTTACGTTTTTTTGTTTTCTTGTAACTCTGCAGGCATGGCAGCGCTGAATGGCAGCCTTTCTAATGGCTCAGGAAACACCATGGAGGCACTGAGCCAGGCCTACTCAGGCATCCAGCAGTATGCTGCTGCTGCGCTCCCCAGTCTGTACAACCAGAGCCTGCTGTCCCAGCAGAGCGTGTCAGCCGCAGGCAGCCAGAAGGAAGGTGGGTACTGTGGGCTGGGAGAAGAAAAAAAGGAGGGCTTGGTAGACAGTACAGGTGAAGAGAGCACTTGCTAAATAACTACTGTATGAGCATGCTTCAGAATTTGTTTTGTCAGTTCAGTTTTAGACTCAAAGTGACCAAACACTCAGGCAAACAGAAACTTCAAGAGCTGCAGGCTAACATGTCAGTTGGAGTTTATAGTAATTCACCCTATTTTCAACAAAACTGACCTGTTTATTAGGCTACCATAGATTTTACAGATAAAAGAACAACAAATTGTCCTGAATGATTGGAAATTGCTCAGTATTCCGCAGTATTTTGTGTGTTTTTGGTTTATTGTTGGTGTGCTGGGCAGGTTGGTAAAGATATTTGTACTGTGTGTTGATGTCACCTTCACCTTAAAGAATGTTTTCTTGTTTTAAATCTGCTGCCTTAGCCAGTGACAGCCGCAGCACCGGTAAGACCACACCACTTTCTCAATGACATGTCCATAACAGACAGCTGTGTTAATGTTAACTGTTCTTCTCAGATACCCTTTTCATAATGAAGGTCTTAGTTGGTACCTGGGGCTCCAGGGGTCATGTGGTGCAAAAAAATTGGACAATCGCATGGGCTGACTGTGCATACACATTACACATGGTGATCACTGACGAACGAGGAGGGAGATGCATAAACAATCTGAACTGTGAAATGAACTTGTAAAAGTAAATAACACGAAACAACAAAAATGAAATCTGACAGTAGCTCATGAATACTATGTTGACCAGCAGTTTTTACCAAGCTGCTGAACAGCCGATAAAATCATTACGTTGTGATCAGGACACTGTCAGACAACAACAAACAGGATAATACCAGCAACAGTACTGTGATACTGACTGACTGGCTGTAGATATTTAAAAGTAGTGATTAGAGAATTATAAGCAACACAAGTAAAGCCAAATCCTCTGCATCTGAATGAGCTGCTATATGTATTTATGCTTGTAATACAAGAAAATGTAAAACAACTCTACAACTAGATTAGAAATGTGGCCGCTGAGGAACAGATGCTTCTCCTCTGAAACGCTTTACTACTCTACTAATCTTTACATTTACATTTTCTCATTGGCAGACACTTTTATCCAAAGCGACCTACAGTACATTTGAGGAACAATATACAAGCATCAATAAAACAGATCTACAAGTGACAACAGATACTAGTAAGAGCTAAAAGCGCATCAGTGGGGTAAAAAGTTAGGGAAAGAAGTAAGAGTTAACAAAAAAGTGCAATCAACACAACACTTACTTTGTGAGTGATGATAAAACAGACTCGTTTATTTACAGGCCCAGAAGGTGCAAACTTGTTCATTTACCACCTGCCTCAGGAGTTTGGAGACCAGGACCTGCTCCAAATGTTCATGCCCTTTGGAAATGTAATCTCTGCTAAAGTCTTCATCGACAAACAGACTAACCTCAGCAAGTGTTTCGGTGAGTTCACTCAAACTACTGTATATAAACTTCCTATGATTAATACATTTTTGATCAGTCTGTACGTGCTGCTGCTTTGAAATGATTGTAAGTGACTCTGCTGCAACTTTGCAAGGTTCCCTATTTTTACGGCAGCGCAAAAACAAGCAGCCCTCTGAACGTTTGGTAATTTCCTTACCTTGAAATGCGCTTTGCCTGTCTGTGTGGTGTTTAACATGACACACAGAGGGACGGAGAGGACTAAACAGGTGGGAGGTTCATTCAGACAATGCAAGTTTTTACTGTGCTGAGAATAGACGTCACTGCCACTTCTGTGATTTGATCTAATCTTAAAAACCTTGCATCAAATGCACAGTAACGATGAACTAATGCTTACAATGGAAATAAACTGCTTTAATAAACACCATCCAACTTTAGATGCTTTGAAAATGTTATAAAAAAATTTAGTTTTAGTTTAAAGTAGGAACGTCGAAGAATAAGTCTGCATTTTTGTATAAAGTTTTAATTCAGAAGGTAAATGTGAGGAGTTGGTGAGAATTCCTGTACTCTGGGTGTACCAGTTTCAAATGTTCATGTTACAATTATTATGAGGGGGTTGCTTGGGGGTTGTATTTTCTAAAAGTACTAGGACAGGGCTCATCATTTCTGATTGTTCGAGTAGAGGCTACTCGCTTTAATGTAGCATTTTGGGCATTTTGAATATGTTTTGCCACTACTGCTTGTCTCTTTTACACGTTGACTCAATGAACACATTTACAAACCTATAAATCACGATCAACAACAGCACAACTTAAATCTCCTCCATGGATACTGTGCTGTTGCAGTGTCACATAAATAATGATGCCTGAAAAGTAGTTCCTGTGATTAAAAGTTCTTGGTACTTTAGGTAGAAACACAGCTTTAGAGTCTGTATCTCTTCTTTTACACATCCTTTTTTTAAACATCCTTTTTAAACAATTAGAATGGTCACAGACTTTTAATACAGTTTCACAAGCCTGCCCATCTGCTCACCACGTCACTATCACCACACACGCAGCAGTTTTCTTTTCTCCAGCTGCCTCCTGTCTGCTTTGTTGCTCCTGCAGTGGCTACTCTGTGTCTGTGTGACTGGAAGAAGGATGAACCCATGTGGCCAGTCAGAATTAAAGAGCTGAGTCGCTCTCATCTAGCCCTTTGCGATTGAAGTTATAATAGTGAGGACGATAGAAATGATTGCCATTGTTAGTGCCTTCAGTAATCAAACCTTTTACTTGATTTGACGAACTCAAACTGCTGGAGCCTGTCAGAATGTATTTTTGTATAGGCTGTGGACTTTGTCCACTGTCACATTGTTAAGAAGGGATCTCTTTAGGGCCCGTGTGGACAGGAGGAATGAGTACTGCAAGCAAAAGTAGGTTCCTATTATTTTAAGATAGACTTGAAAGAAATTTGAACCATTCCTTTAATACTGGAGTTAGTGGTGGTTGGGTGTTGTAAGCTCTTGGGCATAGCGTGGGGATTGGTTTTGTTTGCAGTAAACTCTTTTGATTGTACCATCTCACACGGCTGATCCTCAGGTAACAGGACTGAGTAGAATTACAAGGGTTAGAGTACCTGTTTTCTCCGCTGTTAACTTTCAACAATCTGGATTTACAGCGATGACTGTATCTAAGGAAGGTAGAGTCCCTAAGTATTAGTGTTAAAAGGATAGAGTGGGAGCTGGGCAATCAAAGGAGCAAAATAAGCTAAGGTGAGAGAACTGCCCGTTTTTATTTTCTATTTAACTCTTTTAAAACGTTTTTGGGTTTTCCCAGTTGCTTTTATGTTTTATGTAAAGCACTTTGAATTAACTTGTTATTGAAATGTGCTATACACATAAACTTGCCTTGCCTAATTATTGTTATTGCCAGACTGCATATTCCACAAGGGATTATTATCATGTTAGTCTGCTGTTGCCATTCTGAGTGTTTGTATTTCTCCTTCAGGCTTTGTGAGCTATGACAACCCTGTGTCATCACAGGCAGCCATCCAGTCAATGAATGGTTTCCAGATCGGTATGAAGAGGCTGAAGGTGCAGCTGAAGCGCTCAAAGAATGACAGCAAGCCCTACTGAAGATGCTGAGGCGATGCAGATCTAGTTAGGCAGGGTAGTGTTATGGTAAGTGAAGTATGAATAACCAACTAAGACTGGTCTACTCGAAACCTGTCTGTGCATGACAGGGAATGGCTGCTGCGCTGCCTCTCCGGGTCATTACAACAAGTCCCAGCTAAGAGACACATGAAGCTACATGCAAGAGTTTTCAGGCTAGGCTGGATTCTCCCTGTGTTATGTTGTGGTTTATGCAGTTTGTTTTTCTTTTAACAAATAAGAGAAACAAATGTATTTTCATTTAAGTTGAAATGTTATCAGTTTGCTGTGTTACATAATACACATATTGTCTAGCTGACAATCTAGCTGATTGTTAGGATGTGTTGCACACATCGACAGTCAGGTGCCAAACCCATCTGTTTGTTCTTCCTGTTCTACCTCCCCTGAACCACCCAGACCCAGGACAAAGCTCCTGAAAGGAGGCAGCAGCTTAAAAAGACAGAGCCACATTCGTTTAGGAACAGAAATCATTGCTCGGTTTTCTTTTACATTTTCACAAACCAAAATGCTTTCCCTTATGTATGTGTTGGGTATGTGTATTATCTCTTGAAATGGAGACAGTGTATGTGATATAGACCTAAATTAGTTTTAAGGCACAGAAGCTTAGATTGTTTAGAAGAGGGAGCTCCACCAAAACATGCACCTGGCATTTAGACATACGTATGGGACAAATGAAAGGAAAAAACAGAATAAACATGTGGAGAAACATATCAGATGCAGATGCTTGGTGCAGCAGCGCTCACTGAACGATTTGGTGAGGCTTGTTCCACAGCGTGGTGGCCTGACCCTATACTGAGACACTTCATGTGGGCTTTTCCTTTCAATTGTCACCCATCTGTATGTGTCTAAATGTGTGTGTGTGTGTGTGTGTGTGTGTGTGTGTGTGTGTGTGTGTGTGGGCATAGTCCAAATCAGTGACTGTTGGAGCTGTTGACATCTTATTCCCGTTTCTCTTGTGTTTCAACTCTGAGCTAAAGTCACTGAAGTCAGGTTTAACCAACACCCCTCCATGACCTTCCTCCTGATCTGCTGTGCTTGTATGGTTGTCTCTGTTAACTGAGTTAATTTGAAGATGACACATTAGCAGCTGTTGCATGGCTTACACTTATCAAGTGGCCTTGGGCCTACACTTTTGCTTATGGGTTGTGTTGTATACAAACAATGGCTGGAATGGATTTCTGTATGACTAAATATTATACTTCTATCAAGTTGTGTACTGACTGCATTTATTGTATTTTTCACATTTCAAATGCAGTTGAATTTGGATGTAAGTACAGACTTTTCCAGAAGACTGAAACACATGATGTTTTGGTGGTGCTCCTCCTGTGCGTCTGCACTGAGACAGGTCCAAGGTCAGGCTGATAAGGCTGTGAAGCCCTGCTGTCAGCTGTAGCTTGCAATACTGTCATATCCAAGAGTCTGTCTAATACAGAAGTAGTGCTTTGTATACATACATTTTACAGTTTAAGTTAGTTTCTACCTTCAATCCAGGTGTTTTGTAAAAAATCTTCAACATCCCTCAGCTGTCCTGCTAGCTAGCAACTAGCCAATATATACAGCTACACCAATTTGTCTCTCACAGAATGTCTTCTGTATTGGCAAATTAGTGTCACTACAACAGACAAACATGTTAGTTGCATAGAAATTATGTTTCTTTTAAATAGAACTAGCAAACAAGACAATTGTTGAGATGTATATTTAAACTATCATGCCTTTTCTATTTTTATATAGGTTTTATACTTCTCCTGTGTGTTGGGGAACTATTTATTGCCTAAATTATTTATCTGAATTGAAATTATTTTGAAAGACAAATGTAAAGTCCAACAGTCTATGTCATTGTGGCATAAACTGTGTGTAGGATCCATCAGTGCTGCTACAGACTTCATAGAACCCCCCTCTGTCATCCATGCATTTATTCATCTGAATAAATAACAAATTTTCCAAAAACATAGAGAGCATAGTTTACACGAAACGTCAGCATGCGCCTGTTGCTTCTGTCTTTCTTTTTGAAAAAATAGTCATCTGATGTGTTGTGAACAACTGTGCCCCAGGCAAAGTCCTGGGTGTATTTCTAGTAGTAGAACTAGTTCAGGTCCTGGTGTAAGGTCCAAGTCCAAGTCTGGGCAAAACAGTCTAGACAGCCAGAGTAAAAGTATGCGATGTGAGTAAGAGCAGTGTGCTCAGAGAAGCTCTCACTCCTACAGAGCATGCATGTCAGTGCAGTTGAAGGTCACCGTGTCTGGTTTTAAGTTAGTGCTGGACATTTCTTGGTATATCTTATACAAGAGCATTATTGCTGTTGCACAGAAACTAATGATTATGTATCTGGAACCTTTTAGTCATAACTGATCCGGCTGTGTTGTGATTTAAGATTCTATGTGTGTACAGTGTAAGGCCATAGGTCCCTTGTGACCTTGTTTCATTTTTGCCGTGGCACACTAGCTGCTGTGAGGATCTGGGGCAGCAGGACGCTGTGTGTGGGACTGAGTCAGAATAAGCAACAGTGTGGGTGTTCATGGTGATGAAGGAACCCAGTTCAGAGGTGAGGCTCACTAACTGTCTTTTATAGTAGTTTGAAAACAATGGAGCGCTATGCTACAGAGGATTAAGATACACACACAGACAACAATACCTGTTATTTGTGACTATAGAAAATCTCACCAGACGTATGCTTTTTAAATTGTGGGTAAAATGGAAGATGTCAGAAGTGAAGCAGGAGGCATATTATTTGTCAGATGGAACATGATAAGAATGTTCATGTGTAAATGGAAAGACAAAAGTAACAACTTTCAACTACACATCATGTATCCATGTGATTTTTCAGATGCATGCTGTGTAGCTTCAGATTTTCCCTTTTGTTCCAGGCAGCAGTTTGTTTCTGTTCATTTCTTCATGGCATGGAAGTCAAATAGTTTACTCCATCAGCATAAACATCCGTTCTGCATTCATCTTTGTTAAAGTTGCATGTTTATAAAGCAATGCAGACTTTTTAAAGCGCTCTGCACTAAAACTATTACTAAGCAATAACTGACAAAAATCACCTGCTGTTCACAGTGACGGTCCTGAACAGTTCACAGTCGGCTCGGAGAGTTTCATAAAGAAATGAATGGAAACCAGTAACTGCCCTGACTGGTTGAAATATTACATCAACGCAGCAACATGATTTGCACAATGGTTGGCTATGCTGTATAATTAGTAGTACTTCAAATACCTTTTTAGAAAATTATTCAGTAATTTGAAGTAGCATGCAGTATGGCACCTTAACAGCTTCTAATCAACGATTCTAAAAGATTAGTATAAAAAAGTTAGTTCCAGTGGCACTGCTCAGCCTCTATATGTGATCACTTGTATTTGGAAAACATGCTGGACTGTAGCTGCTGTTCCAGAACTCTGCTTCCACCTGCATGCTGTGACTGACTGTGCTGGCATTTTAATTAGGCTGACGTGTGTGTGTACTGTTGTTGTTATCCACATCAGTTCCTGGTAGGGCTGGGCTACATAGCCAAATATGTTATCATGATAAAACATTTCATATCTGTCGATAATTATCAGTTTAAAAAAAGTTAAAAGGCTGATTTTTGCTCCTGAGTGAACGTTTAAGAAACCAGATGGTTAAAGTGGCTAAATGTAGTTTTTTAATTAAATCACTTATTTATAAATCAAATTTTTTCTTCTTTTTTGTCAATGGGCTATTCTGCTTCTTATGTGAGGACCCCAGGTCGGGATGTCGCCCTGTGCGCGCTCCCGAGAACAAAATGCAGACCACTAAGACGTAAAACAAGTGGCTCCCAGCACAACACAGACTCCAACATAAACTCCACGTAAGGATAAAAAAAACAAAGTTTTATGTGCTTGGCCCATCAGACCAAACAGGTTCAGATGATATCAGTTGAAAACAGTGAACATCGGAAAGGCTGGAGAAACAAGAAGAGAGTCACATTAGTTCACCGGTTAAGCCAAGTAGTTGCGTTGTCCGGTGCAAAGTTGTATGGATTTTCACATTACTTCACCAACTAACGCGACCCATGTTACTATCCTGTGTACAACAAGTGTTGGCTTAGCCTGCAAGAAATGATGTAACAGTAAAAAGCAAATGTGGAGCAATTTGTTTACTAGCCTAGGGCAGCCAGCTAACGCTACATTAGCTCGGACCTGCCGCTGCTTGCTTCGTTCAATTTAGATGCTTCGATCGATCGCTCACCGACCGTATTCAGCTGATAATGGCTTTAATTAGATTGATCAGTGGTCTCAGGCCGATCAGATGATGCAATACTCGCCAGACAAATTTTCAAAGGCAGCTAAAATGTTTCACTACGCAGTCTGAGCAGTTTTCAAAGCTAGCTAGCACCAAAGTCCTTTTCAGACAGGAAGCGACTGATGCCCCAGTTAATCATTTACAATGAGAGTTGAGCAGCAATCAGACAAGCGGAGCAACAAGCCGGAGCGATCACGTGAAACTGTCACAGTCGTGCTCATCTCACCAAAATGGAGACCTTTTGCTACGTTTCCGCCTCCCGTCCACATTAAAACGGCGAATCCGTGGGCAAAAACTGAGGACCCGTGTTGCTTTCAGTAACAGTCCCAGCTGCTCCTCTCTCTGCCCCTCTTTCTACTCCTCTCTGCGCCCCTCTCTCTGCCCCTCTCTGTCCCCCCTAAACCCCACAGAACCTGCCTGAGCTTTCCACAACAAAAAGCAGCTACTTCAGAGTTTATCATGGACTCAGGATGCCTGTTCTCCTTTATCTCCTAAATAGTTTGGCTACATCCTTTTTTGTTTTATAGTACTGTTTTTATAGTTGAAGTAAATTTATATTTTTGTTCTGTTTTTGTAGTTTATTCCACAGGAAAGCTATATTTGTTAAGCTATAAGATGTTTACAGTAAGCAGGCAAAGGCTCCTATGGTTTAAGACTCTAAGACAGAGGAAGTGGAATTTGTTGCCCATGTTTCCTGGCAATAAAATAAACAGTTGTCATCTGATGACTTTATCATTTGTTAATTTTAATACTTAATTATCATCACCGGCTCTGTACCGTGCATACAGCGCAGTGAGACACCGGCATATTGGCGCAGTACTCCCGGAAAAAGGCAGATTGACAGCGGCTATAGAGAGACAGGGAGACATGCTGGAAACTCAGCTAAACTCCCACTGCACTGTTACAGTAATATTTTTATCAGCTGCAGGTTGAACTAATCCATGCTCGTTACATGATAACAGTACATTTACTGTATACTTCATCATTAGCTCACCTGTCTGCTTTTCAGTAACTAACTCTACTATCTGTGTTTCACGGATGGCTCAGCAATGTGAACACAGCTAACCGAGATTGTTGCTACACTTTATAACAGTTAAACCGCAGTAGGTAACTCTACACTAACAATAATGGATGGGTCTTCCTCTGTGGTGTTGTTGCCATTTTGTTGCAGAACCTATTGTATATTATGTGAGTCACATTTGTTACAGCGACTGAAACGTGGAGAAGCTGAGTATTGGTAAAACAACAATAAATCTAAATTTAGAGGTGCTCTGATCAGTATTTTTTGGGCCGGTCACTGATCACTGGGTCTATTTGAAGCCATTTATCATGTAGCATTATACAGTATACTGTTTATTTATTCAATTGGTCCTAAAAACAAGCCGGGAACGTTGAAGTAACAGAGCCTGAACATGTCTGGAGAAAAACAACGTCGGTGTTTCCACGTTTATTGCAGGATTTCTGTATTAAAGTGGTTGTGTTTCGCTCATGAGTTCAAGTGAGCATGCGTACTTGCACACACCTGGTTACAATCTTAAAACCACACCGCTAGTGGCCACTGGAAACTACATAATGCCCCTTTAATTGTGTTTTAAACTTTTCTTTATGGTCAGAACATGACAGACACTTTCTAAACAGTGGATCACTTAACAAATCTGAGGTAGAACATTCAAAACACTTATTGATAAAATCAGTAAAATAAATTTTCAGTCCCTTTTCCTCAACAAAAAAAATATTTTAATCATAAGATTAAGTGCTGATTCAAATGAATTAAATCAAACATTTATTGAACATTTGTTATATTTATATTGAGGAAAAATTATTGCAATAATTATAATTGTTTTATTGCCCAGCCCTAGTTCCTGGTAGCATGTGGCTCATCCTGACGCTGCCTGTGTGAACAAAAAGACGAGCATTCTTGTGTTTTCTGTGTTCCATTGCTGTTTAACCTAGGTTTGTCTCCCTGTTGTTTTTCTTTTTGTTTTTTCTAGATCTCTTCCTGTTTACCCTAGCATGTTGATGTGGCGTCACAGTTCATCGTCCAGTCCTTGTCTTCTGCGCTTCTCTGATGCTTCCAATTTCACCTGTGTTTGACATTTATTACCCGGTGGTTTAATTTTGTTGTTTCCCATATGTGCTGCCAACAGTGGCATAAGAAAACTGCCACTAAACATGTTTGAAAGTTACTTTGTAATTATTAGAAGAAAAAAGAATCTATTTTTCTAGACCTGACCACTAGATTTTTGCAAAATCAGTTTGACCTGAGTCTGACCTTTTAACTTTGGGTTTATCTCCTTCTCTGTGGAGCAGTCCTTCCAGTGCCCCATCAGTTTTTTTGTGTGACAGCAGCTAATCTGTCTCTCAGTGATGTTGTATGTGAGTGCGCACGTGTTCGAAAAACCTTTCAAGCGAGTTAGTGATCACATGTTGTTGGACAAGGTAATTTAATGCTAGTCTGGCTAAGGATATATCCTTGGGAGTTCCCATTCAAATCAGTTTTTACTTTAAGCCTGTCAGCTTGCCAGTGCAAACACATTATGCTGTTCTGCTCTTTTTTGTGTCGAGTATCAGACACAAAGACTTTAGTCACATTATATTTACTATCCAAGTTTTTTTAAGTATCGGCCCTTAAATTCTTGGCAAAATGTGGTCTAGATTGTGTTAAAATAAAAGTGATGAATAAACTGGAGCAAAATGTTTTGCACAATCAGTATTTTCCCTTTTATTGGACTTTCTTTGCAGGTCAGACTAGTTGTAGAAGCAGGTGATTGATTGGTGCGGCAGGTGGCGTCATGTACAACAGGTTTAACTGAAGGTACTGACTCAGACTTGATGTCTGACTGGTTGCAACATTAAATTATTTTTGTGTAGAACTATACAGACCTAGTGTGCTCGGAGACCTTTATCAAACACAAGTGGCCTTCTCATGAGCAGTGGTGTGTAGTTTGTCTTGTGTGTATTTATTGAATATAATCAAGAGACCTTACAGACCTTCATAGCTGCAGTCGTTAACAATTGAACATACAATTTGAAACCTTCAGCGTCTCTCTCTGCTGCTCGTGTCACTCTGCAAAGCCCACAAACCCACAAGAAGGAGCTGGTTGCCATGGATACCTTATCCCTCATAGGGCTTGCTCTTCTTGGTCAGAGTCTTGCGGAGAACCCGATCCCTCTCGCTTCCACTCGCCCTTCAGACCCTTTGGCCCAGGGCAGTGCACCCCAAGCTTTAGAGGCATCTGCAACAATGCCTAACACAAGTGGGGATGAGAGGCTAGTTCACCGCTTCCCACTCAAAAGTTATTCCCCAATGTTTGTCATCATGCCTCTTTGCTGCTCGTTGATATGAGCCCCATGGCATTGAACATGCCCAACTCTCCATGTGGAGCCGGGCTGTGTTCACACGTGTTTCGTACTCCACGCTGTTGTTAGCACACGAGGGACGGGCAGTTCTTTCATTGCTGCTGGGTGTTTCAGACATTGTGTTTGCTGAAGACATTAAGCTTGATTAAGTGAGAGCATGCATGTGGAGGGGGGCTGCGCAGTGTGTGCATGATTGACGCTGCGTTAGAGACTGCTCCTGGCTCTGATTGGTTGGTTTGAGCTGGGAGCAGTGGGTTCTTGTAAATGGCATCAGGAGCAGTAGGAGGAGCCAGAGCAACCAGATTATCTATCTCATGTACTGCTGTCAGGAAAAGTCATAATTTCAGCAAATATGCCAAAAAGTTTTTTTATAAAAACTACCTACTAAACCTTTAAGCCAGGCATACACTGCACGATTTAAAAAATCTTGTTTAATTTCAATTTCACACACTGTACGAGCCAAAGGTCACAAATTACGTGCTCACACTGTGATGACCAACCTCAACCTGAGTGTTTACGCTGTATGGGTATACAACGGCTCATCGCCCCTGCTGACCATTCTGCCTATTGACAAGTGTCAGTAAAGATTTGTTTGAAAAGGTCTGAGGCAGGTAGAAGTTTGTTTGCTAGCAATAATGCTTCAAGGCAGAATTTTTCTGCCTTGATCATCTGTGCCGTCCAGTGAGTCGAGACTTATTACAGTATGGCCTGTCCGCTTTGCAGAGAATTGAAGCTAAGCTTGCTATGTTTTATTGTACGGATTGTCACCTTGATAGCTAGTGTTGTGTCGTCGTGGCACTTTCAGAGGCTGTTCACCTCTTCACACAGGCGCTTTGAGAAAAATAGGTACTGATTGTGGGGAACTGACTTGTGGCTCTGTGCGACATGTTCAGGAGTATGTAGTCGGTCCTCTCTCCCCCCTGTACTCTGCACGGCAAACAACGCCTGACAAAGCTGAAATTCGGCCCAACTATACAGTGAGTTATGTGGCTCAGAAATGGGGTTGAAACGGGCTCAAACCATAAAGCGTATGCCCAGCTTTACTCATTCAGGCTGCAGGTGTAATTCACCTTTCACCCATGATTTCATCCTACTTGAATATTTGGTACAACTTTATTTTACTGATCCCACAGAAACTGAATTGGTATTGTAATTTTATATATAAATAAAGGAGGGTTCTTGGATAGAACTGTATAACTTGGTGCAAATTCAGTTGGTCCACTTTTTAACCAATTAGTTCCTGTTAAATACTAGTGTAATCCACAGTATTTTAGTCCGAGTATAGCAAGTCAACTGAGCATACAAAAATGTGAAATTTGTCTACAGGCAGCAATACAATTCAACAAATAAGGAGAATAAACTCATGACTTTGGAATTATTAAGGTTCTATCTGATGTTTTTGTAAAAAATGTGAAATGAAACTCTTATTTGAGAAGTTATCAGCATTTCCTGTAGGCTTTGGTGCATTTATGGCCCTAAAATGAATATCTAACTTGGTTTTTATGTGCTTCTACCTGCAAAGCACCAATCGGTGCCCCATATGTACACAGGAGGACCAATCAGGTTCTGCCTGTTTACCATGCCACCTCAGTGCTCTGTTACTGTGGAAAGAATGAACTACTAAAGATGAACTATTGCTCGGTCTTAAGTTCTGAAATCTCAAAGTTGATGAATTTATGGAAGTTGCAAGTAGTTTTTTTAACCTGGTTTGAACCTGTTAGATTACTGACTAATGTTAACGTCACGGATTATGCTACTGGTTTTTAGCAGGAACTAATGTATATTAGTAACTAAAAGTTACTGCGCCTTCTTCAGAGATGACAGCAATAAGAAACAAATGTAATATTTAGACTAACACTATCACACTCCTGACTGGGTTTACTTCTGTTTATAACTTGTGAATTGCAGCAGACAGGCAGTGAGGATAGTGCATCAGACTGCATTGATGACCTTGTCCAGGCAAACAAGTGGAACCTAATTTGGGGCAGAAAAGATTAGCAGCAGAGGGGCAGTAGCATACAGAAAAGTCGTTAAATGGGGAGAGGAAACATTTGCCAATCTTTTCTTTTTTTTGTTTTAAAATGCATTCTTTGTAAAAACTTTAGTGAAAATTGTGGAACCTTTCAATAATAATTGGATTTTAT